CTATGTGTCGATTTACCATTACAATGATTTTATTGTCCACCAAGACAAAATCGTAAGCGTTATAGAGTCCGACTAAGCCGAATTTAGTGTATCAATTAAACATCTATCTAAAAGAGTATCTACATGAGCCGGTAAAGTGATCTACTTCTCGAACTTTTTCTACATGACTTCTCGAACTTTTCGCTAAAAACTGGGGCATTGAGTTTAGCTCATTTAGTCCAATTTAGACGAATTTTACTCTAGTGTTTGCGGCTTGTAAAGATAATAAATGAAATATTTATAATATATATTAATATAATATAAATTAGAAATAAGATAGAATTTTAAGTGTTTAAATTGAAATTTATGTTTGTTTGTAACATAATGAGTTCGTCACAAATTTTGTTACTAACACAAATACAATTGTTTGAAGTACATTCCGTTTTGAAAGTATATTCCGTATCTAAATCCTTGTTACTATTGTAACAATTCAAATTCAGTTGCAAAATTTGGTTAGTAACAGCCCAATTTCTAGTAGTGATTTGTTTCCTTCTCATAATAGAAATATAACAATGTCATCTACTAATATTGGAGTATTATTATAGAGATGAACTTATTTGTTGAAAAACTTCTGTTAGAATTTTAGGTACCGAATATTCCAGATTTCACACGAAAATCAGAAATAAAATACGCAGCGAAAATAAATAAACACGAATAAACAAAATTTAGCCTACAAGTGAATATACACGTGTAGACTAAGGTCACATGCCAAAATTCCACTAGAATAAAATAATCACAAAATTTTTCATCCAATCCAAGATCATCTAGTGAACTACGAAAAAACACAAAACGCGAGTTCGACAATTATATGAACTATCACATCAATAAATATATCATGTCAAATAAAAAGATCACAATAATAAGGCTCCTGTTTGCTTGTGAGTGCTGAAGATTCCAAAAACTCAATTAAAAAAATAGTATATGGCCACGCTGCTGCTGCTTCCTTTTATTTCTTCTCAGCCGAATCAACCCCAAATCTCTACTCTTTTTTCTCTTTCTTTCCTAGCAAGACACCTAATAACACAAGGAAACCAAATAACAATAATATTGTACTAAAAATAAAACACCTAATATAAATAAATATTTGTACACAAAAAGAAATCGGCAAAGGAAAATAGAATAAAATTAACAAAAACATATTCAACAACTTCTATTTGTTTTACTCGAAAAATTTAATGATTTCGAGTTGCTTAATGAGTAACGTGTAGAGAATGGGAAGGTAGGACTTGTCGTGTTAGGTGTTGTTGCAAAGCATCTTACGTCCGTTGTTCTGGAGCTTGGCGCCAAATCTCCTGTGGTGGTTGACACAAACATTAATTTGAAGGTAAAATTCAAAGGTTTTTTCTTTTTCTTTTTCTTTTATTATTATTTTTTCCATAACACAAGCAGTTTTATTAAAACTTTAAAATACATATGAGAAGGTTGCTGCGAACCGGATAATCTCGAGCAAGTGAGTATTCAACAGTTATCATATAAGCTAGGTTTTCAACTATTGTTATAAGCTCGAAAATTACTTATAAGCTATAAGCTAACTTAATTATCAGCCATCAGCTAGTTTTACCAAACACAATCTATTATGTGAAAAACCACTATTGATTCATTTTTTTTTAAAAAAAAAAAAGAAGAAAAAAACCCAGTTTTCTTATTACTCGAGTAGATGATTGTTGTTCTTATCTACATGAAACAATTATATATCTATATATATAAAGAGGAGCAACAAAGCTTTAAATTATATTATCATGTATTAAATTTTATTCTCACTCCAAAATTTTCAACATTCAATTTCATTTTTAAGTTACAAAATAACTTGCTCGAATGCGATAAATTATGAGCGTAAACCAATCAAGGGAGTTACAAAATTGTACTCAAATTTTAAGTCATACCCAATCATGAAAATGGTCGGATGTATTAGCATAAAAAAATTGATTGTAACGGCTCTTCCATGGCAATTACTTGATCAAAATTAATTATTTTCTTAATTCATATTTTTTTTTCATGAATTAGATTATAATTTATTTTAGTTTTTATTTATATTGTTATCTTTTTAAAATATTCTTCTTTGTGCAAATACACAAGTTGATTACTAGTAATTATCTATATTGAACAATTGTTTCATATCTATGTGTTTGGTAATGACTTCTTATGACTCGAGTAGCTAATTGTTGTTCTTTCTTCATGAAATAATTATTCCAATTATTCTTCTGGTACTTATAAGTTATAAAATATGATTATTAAATATACAAAAATTATACAAGTAATTTTAGATTAAATTGGGTTCGAGTGTGCATGTACAGCCATGATTAATTACATGGAATAGATAATCGCAAATACTTACGTGCACCTAGGTACATCTTGCTAGGTGTGCCAAGGCAGAGAGTGAATGCACGTAAGAAAAAGGAGCGTGGCCTTAAAATGAAAATCCTGTCCAAATCCTTTCCCACGCGCAGAGAGAGAGAGATAATAAGGTATGCAAGTTTTTTTTTTTTTTGTTTAAAAAAGACAAGTGTCCAATATATATTGGATAATAAATTTTACATATCATATTATATAAATTAAATTATTATTCACATTTTATATTAAAAAATAAAAATAAAAATACCAAAATTCATAATTTTTCAATCTCTACAAATAGAGACCATATTTGATAAGTTTTGGAACACAATTAATTTATCATTTTTTATAATTAAATTATCTTTTTGGAAGGTGATGACACAAATATATAATAAGATGAATATGTTACATACTAAGATGCGTATGTTATATAGTAAAATGAACATGTTATAGAACAAGATGAAAATGTTATAATTTTACAGATGGAATTTAGATAAACATTTTATACAATAAGATGAACATGTTACTTAATAAGATGAACATGTTATAGAATAAGATGAACATGTTACATATTTACACAATAAGATGAACATATGAACGTGTTATAAAATAAGATAAACATATGAACATGTTATATAGTAAGATGAACATATGAACATTGGAACACAATTAATTTATCATTTTTTACAATTAATTTATCTTATTGGAAGATTATGACGCAAATATATAATTAGATAAATATGTTACATAGTAAGATTAACATGTTATAGAGTAAGATGAACATGTCATAGAATAAGATGAAAATGTTATATTTTTCAGAGATGAAATTTAGATGAACATGTTACATAATAAAATGAACATGTAATAGAATAAGATGAACATGTTTAGATTCCATATCTACATCACGGGCTCTCACATTATTTTCTCCAATTTCCACTTCATATATAAAATTCTGGTCAATTTCTTGCTCGACTTTCACTCGTTTAATGCAAGCATCTCCGCCCTGAAATAATAAACCATAATCTACAGATAAGAACTCAAATTTATGCAATAGTCATACTATAGGGAATGAAAGTGAAAAACTAGTAGAATGTAAAATAAATTTCATAAATTAGTCTTTCGATCGAATATCCTCCACCTTCACAAACCAAAATCCTCTCTAATAAGATGAAAATGTTACATTTTTCACATATGAAATTTAGATGAACATGTTATAAAATAAGATGAACATGTTACATAATAAAATGAACATGTTATACGATAAGATGAACATGTTACATAATAAAATGAACATGTTATAGAATAAGATGAACATGTTACATAATAAAATAAACATGTTATAGAATAAGATGGACATGTTTAGATTCCATATCTACATCACGGGCTCTCACATTATTTTCTCCAATTTCCACTTCATATATAAAATTCTGGTCAATTTCTTGCTCGACTTTCACTCGTTTAATGCAAGCATCTCCGCCCTGAAATAATAAACCATAATCTACAGATAAGAACTCAAATTTATGCAATAGTCATACTATAGGGAATGAAAGTGAAAAACTAGTAGAATGTAAAATAAATTTCATAAATTAGTCTTTCGATCGAATATCCTCCACCTTCACAAACCAAAATCCTCTCTAATAAGATGAAAATGTTACATTTTTCACATATGAAATTTAGATGAACATGTTATAAAATAAGATGAACATGTTACATAATAAAATGAACATGTTATACGATAAGATGAACATGTTACATAATAAAATGAACATGTTATAGAATAAGATGAACATGTTACATAATAAAATAAACATGTTATAGAATAAGATGGACATGTTTAGATTCCATATCTACATCACGGGCTCTCACATTATTTTCTCCAATTTCCACTTCATATATAAAATTCTGGTCAATTTCTTGCTCGACTTTCACTCGTTTAATGCAAGCATCTCCGCCCTGAAATAATAAACCATAATCTACAGATAAGAACTCAAATTTATGCAATAGTCATACTATAGGGAATGAAAGTGAAAAACTAGTAGAATGTAAAAGAAATTTCATAAATTAGTCTTTCGATCGAATATCCTCCACCTTCACAAACCAAAATCTTCTTTAATAAGATGAAAATGTTACATTTTCACAGATGAAAATTAGATGAACATGTTACAGAATAAAATGAACATGTTACATAATAAAATGAACATGTTATAGAATAAGATGAACATGTTACATAATAAAATGAACTTGTTATAGAATAAAATGAACATCTTACATACACAATAGGGTGAACATGTTACCAAAAAACGAAAATTAGTTGTGTTCAAAAACCTATCAAATGTGGTCTCTATTTATAGATAATGAAAAATTATGAATTTTGGTATTTTTATTTTATTTTTTTAATATAAATAATTAATGATATTTTAATTTATGTAATATGTCTCATTTTTTCATTAAAAAAGAAAATTAGGAGAGTGCACTACACCTTCTAAATTTTCTAGCTTTTTGAGCTTTTTGAGAATGAGGAGCGCGTGTAATACTGTCCTGGCACACCTAGCAAGGTGTACCTAGGCACACGATAGTGCAACTGGTAGATAATAATCCTACATTTAAATTTAAATTTAAATCCTACATTGATTGGAGTGACTTTTACTATATCCCTTCGCTATTCAACGCCGACCTTTTTTTCCCATAACTTTCTGCGCCACATTTAACGTCACTCGCTTCTCTACCCCCAAATATTCTCACAAAATCAGCAGCTTTTTACACTGCTTTTGTCCTTCCCCCCAAATTCACCCACAAAAATCCACCGCCCCGCCGCCGCCCATGGCGCTGAGCAATAACATCACCGCCATCGTAAACTTCGTCGCCCTCCTCTGCTCCGTCCCCATCATAGCCTCCGGCATATGGCTCGCCGCCCAGACCGACAACGAGTGCATCCACTGGCTCCGGTGGCCGCTCGTCGTCCTCGGCCTCGCCTTCCTGCTCGTCGCCCTCGCCGGATTCGTCGGCGCCTACTGGAAGAAGGAGGGCCTCCTCGGCCTCTACCTCGTCTGTATGTTCATCCTCATCGTCCTCCTCCTCGCCCTTCTCGTGCTCGCGTTCGTCGTCACGCGCCCCGACGGCGCGTACCCGGTCGACGGGATGGCCTCTCGCGAGTACAGGCTCGGGGGTTACTCGTCCTGGCTCAGGGATCGGATCGCCGACAGCGACAGCTGGGGGAGGATAAGGGCGTGTTTGGCGGATTCCCAGATCTGCACCAAGCTCGCCGGTCGGTACGTCTCGGCGGCGGATTTCTTCGCGGCGGATCTTTCGCCAATTGAGGTGAGGAAATTTCTCTTCCTTGTCTTCAATTTTAAACTCTTTAGGGTTTTTTGCGTTGAGTTTAGTTGACGAGCAATTGGTACTTTTAGAGATCTGCAAAATCAATGGATTGATAATTTTCATTTCAGGAAAAAGTTTAATTTTTTAGGATAATAAGTTGGATTTTCCAGTATTAGATGCGGTTAATTGAAATTAAAATATCTATTCCTCTACTAAAATTAGTTTTTTGATTTATGGAAAAAAAAATAAAAACAATAATTAATTGACACATTCCTCTCTGTCTTCCTTTAGAACATTATTTTGATAGGATGTGAATTTCTGCTATTGATGATTTTACATTGGTTAGTTTGATTGTTAGTAGGTAATTGGTAGTTTTCTTGGATTGCATTATTGAGTGAAAAATGTGATTGGATATGTCAAATGTGAACCACCGGTGATAGCAGATGGACCTACAGATAGTCAACATGTGAATATATAGTAAATCATACATTCTTGAGTGGAACAATTTAACCATTAGTCAGGTTAGACCAGTCATACCTTTATAATAAAAATGCATACTTATGTTATATATGTCCTACTTTCATTTAATTGTTCTTTAGAGCAAAACATTTTAGTCTGTTGAAAACAGTACAAGAGTATAACAATCTAACTATTAGGTTGCCTAATAGTAACCTTATAAGACTACTAAAATTTTAATTGGAAGCACACTCTTTGCATTACAGTATACTTTAGTCCAAAACTAATCAATCCAGCTCACTCCAGATTTGGACTGTCTTTGTTTACCTACCACTCTAATTTAATTGCATTTTTTGAAGATTTTAAAAAGATAAATCCAGCCTGTAATCTTTTCTAGTGTCCAATTAGTGGTGGACCCTTCACACTCTCCAGTCTTATGTAGTCATAATCTCATTGCTCTCAAAATCACCACCCAAACACATCATGTAAAGTAATTATGACCATAAATTGTATATACTGATAAAACTTTAACAAAGTTCTTTAAGTTTCCAGTGTTAGCCTCAAGATTCTACACATCTTTCATTATTTAATAGTTTTTCCATTTTCTTGTGTGTGTTTTTTTTTTTTCGGTTTAACAGTCGGGATGCTGTAAGCCTCCAATAATGTGTGGGCTCACGTACTCGACCCCAACAACTTGGGTAGGGACACCAAATGTAGCAGCAAATACCGATTGTGCCCTCTGGAATAATGACCCCAGCCAGCTGTGCTACAGTTGTGATTCGTGCAAAGCTGGCTTGCTCGGAAACTTGAGGCATGAATGGAGGAGAGCAAATGTCATACTCATTATTACAGTTGTCGTCTTAATTTTCTTGTATGTTATAGCTTGCAGTGCCTACAAAAACGCCCAAACCGAAGAACTTTTCCGCAGGTACAAACGAGGATGGGCTTAAAACCAAACATAGTTGCTGGAAAAAGTAATTCGTCGTAAGTGAAGACATGAGGCTGGGTTTTCTTGCTTTTTTTCATGTAAAAATGTTATTTGATGTTGTGTTTCTTGAAGAGTTTGTAGATATTCTTTTGTAGATTGGGTTTCTGCTGTGTTTAGAGTGTAAAAGTACAACATGTGGAACTTTAAAGGTAGGAGATGGTTATGGGTGGGATATAATGTTCAGATATTCTTGACTTGTAACTTGAAAAAGAATAAGAATCAATCCGAACCTTTTACCGTTCTTTTTATTTATTTATTTTTTCTCATTTTGGAAGAAAATTATTGTGTAAAGTAAACTTTTATTTTGTGCTAATCTATATATATATATAATAAGAATTAACATTTACCAAAAATAGTAGCAAAAAAATAGGTCAGTATTTAATGCAGCCTATAAATAGTAAGTTTTATTATTTTCCTTAACCTTTTCTTTAAAAATCATACAACATAAAATGTTACCTTAAATTTTGGGCTTTAGTTCATTTTATTATTTAAAAAATCCGGCTAAGATTTATTAAGTGTGTATGTTATTTTTAATTTTTTCTTATAAACAACGAACAACATTAAAATTCGGTCTCTATATTTATAAAATCTCAATTAAAATATAACAAAAGTTTCAGAATCTCGGTTTTTATATTTGTGCCTTTAAAAAAAATATTGAACGCTAAAAATATTCCTTAAATTTCATAATCAATCAATTAATCTTAATTTTTAAAAAATTACTATGTTTATTTTTTATAAATATGCATAAAGTAGAAATAATTAATTCATCTTTAGATATATAATTTATAATCTTAATATACTGTCATTGGTTGTAGACATTCATTACATGAATCATAAAATATTTTTATTTCATAAAATTATATATATTTAAAAAAATAAGAGAATTTCTTCGGATCAATCGGGTGATTGAATTAGGGTACTGACCAGGTTGATTGAATTACTTTTAGGTGATATTTAAAATAGTCAAAAAGTATGACACAACTTGGTTGGTCCCAGGTGACTAAGTTATGTATCAGTTCGACCATATCAAATCGATTATTGAACCTAATATAAATTTTATATTGGGTATATTATATTACGTGAATGTGATGTAGTTCAAACTTCGAATAATTGTATTAAGAATACTTTTATGAAAAGATGTTTAATGATTTATGAATATTTATATATCATTGTATTAATATTTATGTGAATTAAATAATATTTTATTATAATATTTATTAATTTACAGTAAACATAAGGTTTTCAGAACTAGACCGTCATCGAAACGATCAAGCTATTTTATTAAATCATTTGTGGTTTGTTTAGATTTTAATTTATAAACATTTTAATATATATATATATAGTACTTTTGTAATAAATTTAAATAAAATGTGTTACTTAGTTATCTAAACAATTTATAAATTCAAATGTTTAAACTAATTGATAAATAATTTATAAACCTCTTTTTTATTTAAATATGTAATTTTATTTAAAATAATTTTAAATATAACAAAATTTATTTAGAAAATCATATTGATCCTACCAGTCGAACCGACTGGTATTGACGGATGCGAGAACAAATATTTTATTGAAGCGAAGTAGACTGGTTATAAATAGGTTCTCGATCCATCCAGTCGGATTGTGTTCAACCCGGTTTAATTTAAAAACAATGGATAAATCATGATTAATGTTATTTATATATTTAATTTATAATACAATCGTAAAATTGTTTTTCCGTGCATCGCACGGGCCACACACTAGTATATTTCATGTAAAGTAAAATATAACGCATGTAAAGTAAAATATAACGCGGATGACTGAAGCCGAAAGTTAAATTTTGGCATTCTCAACTCTGGTACTCTGGAATAAAGTACTCTTTACACACGGGAATAGAGCAGACCTATGCAATTCATTTTCTATCTTAGCAGGGGTTAAATGTATCTACTGCAGCAAGTCCAATGCTAATAAAAATTATATCATCTATTTAATAGTAATATTGTTGTTAGCCTAATAGTAAACCGTTACTTTTTCACCATATATGCATACATTCAAACTGAAATGTGAAATGTCATACTGTTAAAAACAACGTAAACAAAAGTATGACTGTTCATAGCATAATTATAAACAACAACAACAACAACATACCCAATATATTCCCAACAGGTTCCCAACAGCATAATTATAAAGTTTTATTAAAAAATATATAATCGACCCGTTTAACAGCTAGACTACTTTATATTAAAGAATATATAATTGACCCGTTTAACAGCTAGACTACTTTATATTAAAGAATATATAATCGACCCGCTTAACAGCTAGACCACTTCATAACAAAATATTTGAGAACCAGCCGCATTAGCTGATTGAAAACCATGAATTATTTAGTGTACATTAAAAGAAAATACTTGCCTATCGAATGTCAGGTCCCAAATCTACAGCATAAAAATACAGATTAAATATAATGACCAGAGGCCTATATAAACAAGAATATGGCTATCATACATAAACTACTCACAGATAAGACCGAGTTTATGGAGAAGGACCATTTCCTGGATTTTTCTACTGGTTTTCCGTGATATGTACTTCGATTGCATCCTTAATTTTCTGAAACTGCAAGAAGTTATCTGAATAGGCTATCATCCGAAGATTTGCATGCATATGATATTACCATTCGAAAATAGAAAGTGCCTTCGTCATTTTCATATTTATTTATGAATGGAAAAGTAGAGAAAACAGATTTACTTACTTTGGCAAGTGAACACGGGAAGGCCTCGAGCTGCCCATCTGCCCCACGGAAAAAGTTGAAATACGGAAGAACCTTCACGTTCAAGTTCTTGCACATGGACTTTTGTTCTCGTCAGAATCGACTTTGATCAAGAACATGATATCAGAATGTTCTTTTGCTGTTCTGCAAAGCTGATAACATACTGAGATTACTACAAAAGCAGCATTACCTTTGATCACAATCATGACATAATTTGTGAAGAAAAATAAACAGCCCATTCTCTTGAAATTGAAGCATACAATAACTAGAAAACTAGCACTGATTAACTAAAATCAAGATAACATGACAATGCAAGGAAGTTGAAACAATAACGACAAAAATGAGATAAATGGCACCTCAATGTTTTCAATCTAAAGATGTTTCCTGGAGTCTGGACATACAACATTAATTTTGAATTTCTAAGTTTTTGAATGTTCAAAGGAAATCATATTGCATTGATTTAAACCTCAGCCTGTAAAGTAAACGATTTTTGCTCTTCTTATGTTTATCTTTTGTTTTTATTGCTACATGCATAGCATCCTTCTTCGAAGAATCAAGCTATTCACAAAATAGTATTGCAGTAATTTAGTAAAGCAAGAATTTTAACTGCGTATGCATGTTTAACATATTGAACTGTTTAAATTAGATTTTTAATTGGTATTTTCTTTTTATTTTTGAATATGTACGTCTATCCTCGAACCATTCAAAAATCTCATTGATTGCAAACTACGAACTCGTAGTGTCCATACATTGTTCTAAAAGCCATCTTAAAAAATATCATTCTCCTTAATCTTCAATTGGTGATATCCGGATGTCAAGTCAATTCGAGAAAATTTCCACTCCTCATAATTGATCAAATGAATCCTCAATTCTTGAAAAGGGATACTTGTTCTTCACCGTGAGTCGATTTAAATCTAGATAATCAATACACATCCTCAAAGTTTTGTCTTTCTTTTTCACAAACAGAATCGGTGCTCACCATGGTGATAGATATACACTTTGTCGAATAAACTTCAAATCTACTAGTTTTTCCAATGGAACGTTTAACTCACAATCGGCAGAAAATACATTGGGGGAACTTTTAACCGATAACCCAAACAAAAGTTTGCAGATGTACGTCATGAACTAAGGCACATTGTGAAAAGTCATGGAGAAGTTCGATCACTAGATTCCCAGAATGTCATATATGATATAATGACAAATTTATCTAAATAAGGGTGAAACACTCAATTCACCATATCCATATAAACACGGCAGGCACATTACTCAAACCAAAAGGCATTACTACAAACTCGTATTGTCCATACCTCGTCCAAAAAGCCATCTTCGGAATATCATTCTCCTTAATCTTGAGTTGGTGTGTTCAGATCTCCTCAATGGGAATACTTCTTGAAATCTTCTAAGATGCCACAAAGCTTTTCATGCATTTCATATACATACAATTACATGAAAGCAAATCAAAAGGAGAACAACAGTGAAATACAAAAGAAGCGAAAGCATTTGACCAAAAAGATATGACCGAACTGCCAACACAATCTTGAAACAAATTGAAAGAAAAATAAAAAAGTTGAATCCTTTATACGTTATGAGAAACTCTAGAAGCTAGTTAAAGAACTCTCATTCTTAGAACATGTACAGGCAAACTTGAGGTGTGTTTGCAGGGGAATCTTGTCATCTATATAGAAAGATTATAAATTTCTATGAAAGATTAGACTAACACTATTTGAGCTGGCTGGATTTGAATTAAAGAAAAAGAAAAGCTGCCAACATTAGTCAGATGGGGACATATCATGATATAATCAATGACAAATTGGCAGGATACATGACCTAAGAACTTCAAAACAACATGAAAGAAAAACAAGCTTGATTACTTATACGTGTTAGAGGCGGATTTCATGATTCAGCATCTGCCAACAATAAATCATATATAGACAAGAAATGAGCCATCTAGGCCATATATGGCTGTCGACTTTTAAGCTTCACATCCATATAGAGCAGGAAAAGGTCTTACACATGCAAAAATTCACACGAGCCTATAGCTTTAGAGAACCCAAACCCCTAGAGCATATAATTAGTGATACCTAATACTTACCATCTTCAGACTGCAATCAACCCAAGATATAGATATAAAAAGAAAATAATAACTATCGATTACATTAATAGAAGATTTCATTTGTTTCGTAATTATGCAAACGCCTTAGGAGCACACAAGATGCAACAAATCACAAGAAGACCCACTAGGAAATTTGCAAACGTCAAATAGCTAGCAGAAAAACAGTCTTTTGCTACACTTGAGGGTATGATTGAGGTGTCCTTGACTCGAAGAAATCAAAGATCGCAGACAAAAGAGAGAAAAATGGTTGGAGTATAATTACATTACCATAACAGGTTAGCGTTTGGAATCTAGATACGTTGCAAAGTTCATATTATTTGACTGGAAAAATCTATGATCAAGCAATTATAGTAGAGTTCCTGAAAACTTATCCATAAATTTCCCAACAACCTCCACGTAAGTCAAAACATATGAAGCTAATACAATGTATGACACTAACCAGTAACCCATTTTTCTCATTCCAACTCAAAAGTATATTACAAACTTACACAACAGTAAGCCGCACAAAACGTAAAAAGCTCGAACGAGAGACAAGACTTAACTGTGTTCTTACCAACTCTAAGCCAGTACACACACTAGCTACCACATCAATTGAATTTCAGAAGCGCTAGTTTTACCTTGAAAGACCCCAATTGTTTGCAGCATGGTACGGCAATCGGTGAGGCAAAAACACAACCAAGAGAAGAAACTTCAGAGAGGAAAACTGACCCTCGCTGATTCAGAGATGGGGCCCGCTGAAAAGAACTCAGAGACGAGGAGAGAAAAAACAAAGAATAAGACAACTTTTGAGAACTACAGCATTATCTGATCACATAAGCCATTCTATAAGTGTTCACATACGATCTTTGCAAAAAACACATTTTTCTTTTCTTATTCGAAACACACTTGTGCATGTGTATGTTTCACGATTTGGGTTTCTCCAAGAGAAGATCTTTTCTTTCCTATGTGCTACACAGTTCCAATATATATGCATACATAAATGTGGGTGTCAATGTATAAAGAGATAGAAGGCATGGATTCTTGGTAAACAATGGCCAAAAAAAAAAGTGTTTGGAAGATTTTTCTTGGCCCCTCACACGGTGCATGTTATTTTTTTCTATTTACGTCGGTATGCTGCAAGCCTCCAATGATGTGCGGGCTCACGTACTCGATCCCAGCAACTTGGGTGGGGACGCCAAATGTAGCAGCCAATCCCAACTGTACCATCTGGAACAATGACCCCAGCCAGCTGTGCTACAGCTGTGATTTGTGCAAAGCAGGCCTGCTCAGAAACCTGAGAAAGCCAAATCCTACCCTTAATGAGCTAAACTAGAGCTTAAACGAGCCGAGCTAAGGTAAAATTTTTAGAAAACTACATAAAAATCCATGTTCTTGAAAGCTTAACGAGCAGAGCCGAGGGCGAACAACTTTTTTCCTTTTCACAACTTTAATTGTGTATCCTTGAAGATTACAACAACAACAACAACATAACCTTTACTCCCAAGCAAGTCGGGGTAGGCTAGAGATGAAACCCAAGAGAAACACAAAGACTCGAACCGAAAGGAAGAGATCGAAAAAAAAAAAACGAAAAAAAAAAGAGAGAGAGAGAAAGGAGCAACAGTCACGGCTCTGGCACGTTGATAGCGAGCCTCCAAGCGCTCCTATCCACCGCTAGATCCTTGGAGATATTCCATCTATAAGGTCTCTCTTAACCGACTCTTCCCAAGTGAGTTTAGGTCGACCTCTACCTCTCTTAGCATCCTCGACCCGCTGTAGAACTCCCCTACGCACCGGTGCATCAGGAGGCCTCCGTTGGACATGTCCGAACCATCACAGCCGATGTTGAACCAATTTCTCCTCAATTGGAGCCACCCCGACCCTATCTCGAATATCCTCATTCCGGATTCTATCCCTTCTTGTGTGCCCGCAGAACCAACGCAACATACGCATCTCTGCTACACTTAGTTGTTGGAACAATATTGTTGTTGGGGAAATAATTATTTTGCAACATGCATTGTGCCAATTTTTAGGATTTGGCAAGTCAATCAGTCAATGTGCAGAATTATGCACTGCAAAAACTATCCATTGCTTTTTGTGAGACCTGATGCGTGGTTCTATAATTTCACATCATTCGCAAATCATTGTTATAGTAAGGTTTTAACAATCATGCAGGGAACACAAATGCTAGAACGCAGCACATCGTATTCATTACATGCAAAGGATATGTTCATGTACCTTCAATCTTTCAACAATAACCAACCACAGGCACAAGAATGAGAATCAGCATTCATTTAGAGATGACAGAAAACCTTCCCCTATTATTTGGAATAACGATGAAAACCTACGGAGTCAAAGAACCGGGAAGTACAATCTGTTTGTCATTCAAGGGAATGATGTCTGTAATATTACTACACGTTCTCACGAATGATCCACCGTGTCTCACAAATCAACAGTGCAGGGCAATACCAAACTTTTAAGCAATTCAGAACTTCATTAGATGCCGACTTTGCAAAACGAAACCCGTCTGGACACGAACTGCAGATCAACGGTCAACCCGCATGTTTCCAGATACTAAAATAGGCATCTTTAATGTTCAAGTAGACGAAACAATAAGTTTAGCCATGAGAACAACTCTAATGGGATGATGCTACTACAAGGAACCTCAACTAGCTCTTCTGGTAAGAACCATAAAAATTTGTATAAATGGCAATGGTTCGCCTTTTACCGGCAACACATACTGTTCGAGAACGAATCTTGAAGTAAACAAAAANAAAAAAAAAAAAAAAAATCTACATGTATCGACAATATCCATGTGGCCCATAATGACCTCAACTAGTTAGCCATGTTCAATCTGTATCCAAATAAAAAAAACCTTCAATTCCTAGGTAAAAGAACGCTCTTTGGAAACGAAACCGACCCATTGTTTGGAACCCCACTAATGTTCAAAATATCCGTCACCAAATTATAAATCTCAACATTCTCAAAGGACGGAACCTTCTTTCCCCTCCCAAACCGCGGGCCGTGGCCCACAAAAACCGTCCTCATGGAAAAAAACGCATTGTCATACCCGTGCGAACCCCCACACTCTTTCTTTCCCGAACTCGTCTGCTCCACCTTAAAACCCTCCTCAACTAACCCAATAATCGGCGGAATCCGATCACTCTCCCAATAGTGAAGCCTTCTCGGAAGCTCCTCCTTGAGATAAACCCTCAAATACTCGCCATTCTCGACTTTCCCCGACCTCAACCCCTCGTTCATCTTCCTCGCTACCTCCTCCGGCGAGATTCCGGCAGGCGGCCGGATAGCAAGCAATGGGCTGTACGAATACACCCATTCTTTCGGAATCTCCATCCAATCCGCCAGCTCATCCAAGAAAACCAATTTTCGGTCACATGTACCCACCATCCCATGGTCCCCGACTAAAATCACATTCACATCCTCAAAAACACCTTTTTCTTCTAAACCGGTTATTAGCCTCCCGAGCATTGAGTCAACTCCGGCAATGGCTTTTGTGATTCGCGGGTCGTCGGGCCCCACGTGGTGTCCCTGGCTATCCGGGTCCTCGAAGTAGAGCGTCATGAATGAAGGGATTTCATTGTCTGGCAAATCGAAGTAGCTAAGGACTGAGTCGACTCGGTTCTCAAAAGGCACCGAGCTGTTGTAAAACATGCAGTATTTTTCAGGGCAGTCCCAGAAGGCCCGTTTAACCTCGGCACCGGGCCAGAAATAAGTCGAGGCCTTCAATCCGTGGCGGGCCACGGTCTCCCAGATGGGCTCGCCAAGCCACCACTTGGGCTCGTGGCTCGACATACTGAAGAAATCGCCCGTTTTGGGATCGGTAAAGAAATTATTCACGATTCCGTGGTAGGCGGGGTACAGACCTGTGACGATGGAGTAATGGTTTGGGAAAGTCAGCGTCGGGAAGACCGGGATCAGGCCTAATCGGGCTTCGGTCCCGTTGTGGATTAGCCGGTGGATGTTGGGGGTATTTGTCTTGAATTGGTACCCGAAACGAAACCCGTCTGACGAGATTAGTAAAACCACGGGGTGCTTGAGTTTCGAAAGAGGGCGGGAGGTCTCGTCGGTGGAGTTCGGGTCGGGTGAGGACGCGTGGAAGAACAGGAAACCAAAGGCTATGGCGGCGGAGAGGGCAATACAGGTGGAGATGACGAGGGATATGAAAATAGCGGTGGTTGAGGGAGAGTTCCGGCGGGAATCCCAGGAGGAGGCGGCGTCCGTCCTGAAGGATAAGAGGGCTTTTCTGGCTGTACTAGGATGATCGTTTCCATCATCTTTCACTGAGGCGGGCAGTTGGGTGTCGTCGTCTTCGTCGATTGGGGTGAGAATAGGCGTAGAATCAGAAACCATATCAGTTACCGAGATTCTACAATTGGGTCCCCTGTTTGAGATTTTAGGTTTTCAGGGCAAAATTAGGTCAGGAAAAGAGGGATCAATGGGTGTGGAGATTTGAGGGATGCGAGAAATTAGGGTTTGGGCGTAATTGGGAATATAATTGGAAAGAGGAAAGGTAGTTGAGATGGAGCTGTTGAAGAAGGTGGCAAGAATTTGGAGTCAAAACGAAGGAAAGGTCGTTGGAGAAACACAATGCCTTCTGTTTCCAGGTTCTCCCCATGTTACTTCTTGCGGACTTTTTTTGATTTACACATAGCTTGTGTGAATTAGTATTGACCGTGGTGTAATTGGATAACTCATCTAAAAAAATACCAACCAAAATTCAATTTAATTTACTTTTAATCATAGTTTTTAAACCCGACCTGATAATCGACTCGTGCAGGTTGTCGGGTCACCGGTTCAACCGTCGGGTCATCGGATCAATTACTGAAACCGGATAATTAATTTTAAAATTTTTAAAATTATATATAGAGTATTTTTGTCATATAAATATACATAAAAGTAACAAAATTAAATATTTTGTGTATAAAATTTGTACATTAAAGTGTTAATAATATGTATCTCATGATAAATATTTACCATATAAACATATATACATAGTTTTATTTTTAAAAAACAAAAAAATAAAAAAATATATATATATGGACCGGATTATTGCCTCGGGCCGGCTTGGTCAAGGCCGGGTCGGTCGGGTTTTGATTGAGTTTGACCGGGTCCTTTGTTGCCCGTTCCAAATACCCCACCCGGACCGGTTCTGGCTCCGGGTCGACCCGTTTTTGCCGGTCCGAGTCACAAAACACTGCTTTTAATTCAATCNCAACAAAACTAATCAAAACTATAATTTACAACAAAACTAATCAAAACCAAATAAAATTCATATCATCGTTTTCAAACCGTAATATATTTATAACTAACAAACTTAAAAAAGTATAGTTAAGGAGTTAACTAACACCAATTAACCAGAAAACCTAGACCTACATTTTGACAGGCAGTAAACTTACATTTAGATAAATGTGTGAGCATGTATAATTTAACGGCTAAAACTCATACCCGACCCGGCAGGGCCAACTGGGTGATCGCTCAGTGCCCTCAAATTATAAGGGGCTCATTGTTTTTATTAAAGGAAAAATATATATTAGTACTATTCAGTTTTATAAAATTGAGTTTTATTCACTTATTTTCATACAACTATATATTTTTATCTTGTGTTACCTTGATGTGAAATAATCATGATAAGTTTAACTAATAAGAATTTTTAATAAATAATTATTTTTTAGACTTTGTTCTCTTACTTTGTTTACTCTTAATTAATATAAAAAATGTTTGTTGTATGTATATAATTCAATCATATTAGTGTGAAGGTGTATATTAATGAATCTTTTTGTTATATTAAGTTAGGTTGTGTGAATTTATTCATTTTAAAATGCGAGTTTCAATTTATTTTTTATTTGATTCTCATATTTTTTAAATGGTTATTGAGTATTTTGCAATAAAGATTCATTAAACTAGAATTGACTATTGTGGAGCAGAGTTAACTTAAATTATATGATTAAGGTTAAAGAGAGTTTGAAACTTTGGTTATTATATGTTCATATTTTTTTTCACATACAAAGTATGAAGGTGATCAATTCCTCTTGTTATTTTTCAAGTCATTTTTTTTAAAAAAAAATATAATTTATGAAATTAAGTTATAATTTTTTATCTTCACTAATTTTCTATCATATGATAATTTTTTATGGATCTATTTTTCAAATAAAAACATTACAAACTGTTTACCACATTTGGCCTAGGGCCTAAAAATTTCCATTTTCTAGGACCGGCTCTGCTGAAACTCCTTAGAGAAATATACACGAGGTAGAGTCAAATTTGACGTTGTTTGAGATTTGACAGTTGGACCAACTCCAACGGGTACTCATATTAAAACACAAAATAAAAACAAATGAGTAATTCACGTATTACACGATGACTTCTAATGACTATAAGAATATCGGATAATAACCCTGAATTTCTTACTGTGAAATGACTGTTACATCAGGCTTTCTATTATGCTGACGAGATCTCAATCAAAATAAAGCCCAAGGAAAGGGTCGAACAAGACAATCAACACAAGGGACCGGAGGGAAATGGCCGAAATTGATGAAAAGAAAAGGATATGGATGAGTTTATAAACATATTGGTCAAGGGATGGCTTTGGGTCCACTATCGTGATTTTCCTACCTCTAGTTAGGGTGTGATTGGATACCAATTGGTAGCTAATTTAACTGATTAATTACTGGTAAAGTAGATATATTGAACTAGTTTTCAACTAGATATGAATTTGTCATGCTTCATTTGGGCCCACGAAAATTCCACTTCCGCACTGCTGTGACAGCAAAATTGTCGAAAATAAATAAATAAAAGACATGTGGTTTTGGTGGTATTGGTTTGAAAAATTGGGAGCTCTACATGTATGGTATCCAATGTTTGCAGGTGGTTTTGGCGCCTTGGGGCGTGAGCAATGAATTGGCTGAAACTTTACAACCTATTGTGGGTCCTTCACAAAACCAATCAATTTATATCTAATAACCAACCTAACAGTACAAATCAGTCTAAAACCAATTTTTTACTGGTTTAATTGATATTCAATCGCCGCCTTAGGCGTCATCGGTGATGTGAAAATTGTCTCTGGATTAGACATGGCCACAGGCCGTGTTGGGATCTGTGAGGATCTCGTTATGTACAAATTACGAATTCAATAGCAAACGTAAACCTATGCGCAGCGGATCTAAAGGTTTGACGTAGAAAACTTACGGCTTAAAATTAATGTAGATCTGGTTGACCACGAACAAGATCAGATCAAAATCGGATCAAACGGGTGCAAACAGATGAAGATAAACTTTGCAGCTAGCGAGCTCCCGACGGCGCGTGAGGGCGCGTGCAGCGTCGGACGACGGCGATGGAAAGATCTCGTCGAGACGGTCGTCTGGGTATGCTGTGCGCCTCAATCGGACCTCTGGTTAGTTTTGTAGGATAAAATATATTTCGTCTCGGTTTAACTACATTTCTTCTACCGTATTACTCAATACACCATTCTTCAACTTGTACCAGTGGAGTAACAAGAAGAAGATAAAGCTCAAATGAGATCTAGAGAGAAAGAGAGTATGGGCGGCGTGTTTGTCTCGTGAATATGAGATGTGTTCTCTTCTCATGAACTTAATGATGTATATATAGAGCTACAGAAGGACCTTTAGGAGATTAGGAAAATGGCTCCTTAATTAATTAGACTAATTGTGGGCAAAACCCACTCCTCTAATTAATTAAATAATATTGATGGACCACCAACATTATATTATTGCACTCCATTTTCCTAGCCCACTCCAATAATAATTACTCGATTTACTTCTCCATGTTTAAGATATAATGCCCATTAATTAATTCGATTACTGACAATAAAGAATTAATTAATTTATTATTATTTCATCGAAGCTAGCGCTCGTTCATCACTTCTTATTATGTCGGAACTTAATCCACCGCAGGGTTTAGCATAACAATCCTTCATGAACTCACTCCGGGGACATCATCAAACTAACGCACATGGTGATCGTAAATATCCTAACAGCACATCCTACATATAATAATATTACCCAAAACAATAAGAATATTGATCTAGTGAACTGAACCTCAATCAAGTGAATCAAAGTAATATATATATTATATATATCTGTCTATTTAATATCTTACGGGTTAAGAGAACGCAGTAATTAACTGAGGCCTAGTTCATTTACAACTCAATATAAAATGAACTTATCCTCTGTGGGATCCTGTTCAATACATAAATGTACTAGTGCAACTAATCAGTCAAGACAAACTGTATAGTTGACATTACAATCGTTCGGATGGGGTGTTCATGTCCATCTAGGTTGTGGTTGTGAACAACTATTCTTGTTCGTAAGTAACTGATAGAGTGATCTTCGGTTCGCCCGACCCACTCTATCTAAGTGCAGAACAACAAAATTTACAATATGCGTGTGTGCATGATCAACTACTATTAAAAATTAATTAATCATCATCCAAAAAATAATTTCAACAAAAATAAAATCACTCCAGAAACCATGGGAAATTTATATATAAAAAACAAAAAAAACACAAGTGGACACAAATAAAAGCAAAAAAAAAAAAAATCTGGACCAAAATAAAAAATACATATTCTGAGAATACGTTTTCTTTACAAATTGTCAATGAAAAACGTATTCTCAGAATACGTGTTTCAATGAAAAACGTATTATGTAAATACGTTTTTCAATTAAAATTACAAAAAAAACGTATTTTCAGAATACGTGCTTTTTATTTATTTCCACAAGATTTTTTTTTGTTTTGTTCTTGTCCACTTCATTTTTAATGGATATAGATTGTATGCTGTAATTACCCAAACGATAGAAACATAACAATTAAATAAAAAAAGGGAAAAATCCATTCAAATTAATACCGACTGCCATGGCCACCAGTCCGCAAGCGGCGTCAAAAGAGAGAGACTTTGCTGAAAGTGAATCATTTGTGGGGACGCAAAAACCCAGGCTTTAAAATAAGTATTTCCCCTCTTAAATTAATTAATATATAAGTCGGAGCAATATACTCCAAAATTCAAATACAGAAAAGTTGAAGTCTTTTTCACAGAGAAAGGAAAAAATGATGGGGGATTTGTACAGCGGCGGCGGCGGGCTGTTCAGGGTTTCGATGTGCGGCGGCGGCGCGGAGGCCCGTGAGATCGAGCAGCTGTCGAGGGAGGGAAGTCAGTACAGCCTCTCGACCGGAATTCTTCCTTCTCTTGGCGCTAGAAGTAATCGCAGGGTCAGGCTCAGTCCTTACATTGTTTCACCCTACGACCGCCGTTACAGGTACCCATTTTTCCTTTTTCTTCTTCTTCTTCTTTTTTCTTTTTTT